TTTTGGGGGGGGGGGGAGGGGCGAGCCCCAATACCCTCCTGACCATGTTTAGATCCTTCTGTGGTTGCTGACTTATCACTATCATCACTATCCCCGATGTCATCACTACCATGTGCGTTACCATCCCCCATTTCTGAGATGTTATCATCAGCTGAGATATTATCATCCTCTCTCGCCTCAAGTGAAGTGGCAGGCTGGAGGCTATCCTTAGGCTCATCTCTAGTGCCCCCTTCCCCCCCCATATCTAGTGTAAAGACCTGTCAATGAGCCCTGCGAAGTCCTGCCCCAAAATTCTTTTCCCCCTCTGGGACAGCTGTATCCCGCCTGCCACTGGCAGGCCAGGTGTCTGGCGTAGCCGCCTATGCTCAAAAAACCTAAAGCCCTGCCGATAACACCAGTCACGGAGCCACAAGTTGATATTCTGCCTCTTCCTGTCAATTTCCTTATTCACGGTTGCCACTGGAGAGATAGACAAGAACACAACCTGCATTCCTGTTCCCTTGAGCAGCTGTCCGAAGGCTCTGAAGTCTCTTTTAATTGATTTTGGCCTTCTCCTACCTACTTCATCACTACCCACCTGAAACACTAACAGGGGGTAATAATCAGATGGGTTTATTAGGTCTGGAAGTAGGTCCATCACATCCCTGACCCGTGCCCCAGGGAGGCAGCAGACTTCCCTGTGAAGTGGGTCAGGGCGGCACATTGGTCCCTCTGCCCACATCAGCAGAGAGTCACCCACAACAACGACCCTTCTCCTTTTGGAGCTAGTAGTGATGTTGCATCTGTAGTGATGTGTACTTCCTGACTTTTCTAGTCTTGACATGCCATCCTCCTCTCCATCAGCCAGTTTCTCCTGCAGGACCCCATACCTGTTCTGCAGGGGTAACTGGGGGGCTGGGAGGGGACCCGCCTGCTCCCCCGAGCAGGGACCAGTTTCCATTCCCCTTCTTCTCTGAGATCTCCACCTATTGCTTGGGGACAAGAGGGGAGGGGGTCCTCCCATTTACATGGGGGCTCAGCCTGTTCCCCTACTCCTCTACTAGTTTCTTTCATGCACTCCCTTTTTTGCTTGCTCTTTCTTGCTCCTCAGCCTCTCCACTTCATCCTTCAGCTGGGCCACCAGGCTGAGCAGATCATTCACCTGTTCACATCTGATACAGGTGTTGTCCCTGCTGCCCGCCATTGCCAGGCTCCAGCACTCCCTGCAGCCAGAAGCCTGGACACCCACGTGTTTGCCTGGGGCCTCTGTCTGGGTGCCCACAGCCTTCCTAAAAACAGCTTTCGACCGGGTAGAAGCCATAGCTGAGCCCCCCGGACTGACTGAACGTACCTTGGACTCGAGTAGAGGCGCAGGGCCCGGATGCACAAACAGCAGCTGCTGCCCCGCCAGCACAGGGTGCTCCCTCTGGGCTCCGTGGCCAAGGACTAGTCCCTGCCCTCCTGGGGCTACTTATCACCTGGAGCTTGATCAACCAGGGCTGGTGGTGGCTCCACCCAGGCTCCCTCAGCAGCACCGCCCACCAGCTGACAGCCCCAGGTCAAGCAAAGTCCCCAAAAGAGCTTCTCTGCAGCTTTTTGCTGCAGATTCCTTCCCCAGCAGACTCTTACCTGCCCTGAAGCTGCTCTCTGTGGCATTCACGCCCTGCTCCCCTGCTCTGCCCACCAGACCTGCCTTTTTGGGAAGCCTTCTGCCTCCCTGGGGCTTGGGTAACTATGGCATTTTCCAGCCTTGTACGGCCCTCAAAACGTTATCCTATCTCAGGCTGGGAGGCACCCATAAGGATCACCAAGTCCAACACTCTGCTCCTCGCAGGACTACCTACAATTAAACCTCATGACTGAGAGCGTTGTCCACACGCTCCATGAACGCTGACACAGGTTTGGTACCATCATCACTCCCCTGGGGAGGCTGTTGCAGTGACCAACCACCCTCTCAGCGCAGAACCTCTTCCTAACCTCCAGTCTGAACTTTCCGGCACGCAGCTTCATTCCATTTCCTCATGTCCTATCACTGGTCACCAGAGCCAGCAGATCAGCACCTCCTGCTGCGATGTCCCCCTTCAGCAAGTTGGAGGCTGCCATGAGGGCACCCCTCAGCCTTCTCTTCTCCAAGCGCAATGAGCCAAGTGACTTTATAGATGATCGAGATAAGGGGATTGAGTGCACCCTCAGTAAGTTTGCAGGTGACACCAAACTCGGTGGGAGTGTATGAACTTGTAAACAGAGATGAGGTCTCCCCTCAGTCTTCTCGAGGCTAAAGAACCCCAGGTCTCTGAGCCTTTTCTTGCAAGGGAGGTGCTCTAATCCCTTAATCATCTGCCTCTGGATTAGTGATAAAAACATTCAAGAGCACAGGCCCCAAAAACTGAGCCCCGGGGACCCCCACTGGGGACTGGCGCCAGCCTGATGGAACCCCATTGAAGAGAACTCTGGGAGCCTGACCCGTCAGCCCATTGGGTTTGCGACTGGACTCGGTGATCTTAAGGGTCTTTAGCAACCTAAGTGATTCTATGATGGCTCTGTGATTGATCTTACGACTTCGTGCCAAAACTGAGGCCAGTCGTCGGGGTAGGCAGCGCCTTACGAGGTTGGAGCACCTGTGAGGAGGATGCCATCTACCGCCTCCTCGTGCCCCTGAAGCCCCCTCGTGGCCATGCCTTCCGCCTGGAGACGTGCACCACCAACAAGGACAAGCCGGCGAGGAAGTCCAGGCTCCGCGTAGAGCTGCAGTGCACCTGCACGAAGGAGCAGCTGGCCGGGGACGCACTGTGCTTTCTCCACCACCCCCAGAAGGAACTGAGGCAGAAACAGGGTCCCAGCCTCCTGGGCACCCTCTGCACCGGCCCCTACCTGGACGTGGAGAAGACCTCCCGCTGGTTGCAGACTCTGCTCACCAGGGCCTGGGCGCTTATGCCTCAGTCGACCCACTGCCGGCTGACGGTGCTGCCCTCCAGGACCTCCTGCGACCTCCGCCTGACGGATGCTTCTGGCAGCACCATCCTCATTGAGATGGTGTTTGGAGTGGAGCACGGCGACTCCTACGTCTTCCTGAGCTGAAGGGGCCATTGCCAGGAAGGAGCCGTGCAGCAGAGACTCAGCGCTGTTACCACCTGGACAGCGACTGCCCTCCCTGTTCCCGAGACCGCCGTCCCTTTACCCTCTGTAAATACGTTTCAATAAATCCCTTGTTTGACCCAACGCTGCGTCCCTCAGAGTCTGGGCGTCCCTTGGCTGGGGAAGGCGGGCGTAGGGTGCTGGCGGCTCCGCTGCCACCGAGTCGGGGAGCGTTTTGCAGAAGAGCGGCTGCAGCGGACTCTGGTTTCGTGAGTCACTGGGCTTTGGCTTCCCGGGGCTTGTGGGTCAATCCCAGCAGCAGCTCGGCATCGCACAGCGGCACAGCCCCTTGCCCCCTGGGACGATGCAGAGACTCTGAAGGGTAGAAGTGGGGAAACTTGTGGGCTCAGCTAAGACAGTCCAGTGTACCAAGAGCTACACACCAAAGCAAAATAAGAATTCATGCACAGACTGCTCCCCTCCCTGCCCTCCAGAGCTGCCTGGGATGTCCAAAGGTAAAGGACACCCTGCAGTATCTTGGCACACAGTGTTAGTTTCAGCTAAATTTCACAAGACTCCAGTGTATTTGAAGTGGCCTTCAAATACAGTTCAATTGCCTTAACTAAATGCAAAAAAAAACCACCACCAAAAATCCAGAAAGTAGTAAAATATATATTGAGTGCTGTAAAAAAAAAAAATTAACAGCACAAGTCCTAATGCATATGGATTTTGAGATATTTGTTAATGAGGGCTGTTTGGCTATTCACTGTGTCAGAAAAACTCTTCCAATCCAATTAAGCTAATGCCAAGCATATTTATCAGGAATCACAATGGACAAACTGTCAGCTTTATTACTGCAGAAAACCAAGACCCATTTACAGAAGCACTCTGCACAAATAAAGGGGTTTTAAGTGTTTTATTTGTCCTTTTGGAATGATTAGTATTTATAATCAACAATATAAATCCACCCCTCAATGAAAGACCTGACAGCTTGTTATTGCCAAACATATTACAGCCTGCTGAAGGGTGAAGAATTACAGACATATAAAGATGAATAGCTTTATATCACCATTAAATCATTTACTCTGTTCATAACAGTTTAATCCTCTAACATTATAAATTAAGATTAGAAAAAAAAAAATCAACGGTTCCAGTGATAAAGTACACAATATAACAGTTTATTACATTAGTGCATTAAAAGGTAAAAAACTGGACATCTCCTTTGGAATAACTGCATCATTGCTATCTCCCTCTTACACCACCACTGCTTGCAGCCACACAAGCTACCAGGAAGTCTCCAAGAAGTATCCTAACAGGAAAATCCATCACAGCTAAAATAAGTTTATTCTGAGAACTACTTCTTCTATACTCATATTACTTGAATACGAGGACCTAAAATTAGATTCCTTCACATCTGGAGTTACCAGTGACATCCATTCTGAAATCAAGTGAGTCATGAACAGATTTGCATCCACACTTCAACCGTCAAATGAAACTTAAGTGGAAAACTAGCTTTCATTTTTCACCTGCTTAAGTAAATAGTTACTTAATATTTGGAAGCCTTCTACAAGAGTGTTAAGCGGTTTGGACCATTTTTCAAGGTTACCAGCACGTATGAAACTTGCATGTATGAATGATTCGTAACCAATTAATAGCAGTATCAGGATAATTGCTATAATAGTAAACATTTCTACTTACTAGAGATAGAATTTTGAGATCTCAAAAGCTAATTTGGAAGATAACCTTTACAAAATTTTTCAAGTAATGATTCTATTACATTAACTCTATATTAAATGACAACTTCGAAGACTGAAGTTAACACTTAACTGGAATCAGCTTTCAAAATGAAGTGGATCAGATTAATAATCTGTATAAATCGCAAGTACACTGCAAATCTATTTCTCAAAGATAAGATATTGCCTGCTACAGATACAGCACTAATGGCTGTCTGAGGCTATCAAGACCATGGAACTACTTGCTTGTCAATTAGGATGTGAATGCAAAAAGCAGACGGGCACAGGAAGCATGTCTCATTATGGCAATAGACATCATCTTAAACTGAGCAACAGCAAAGAAGGTCAATTCAGAAGCCAACTGAATTTGGAATGTGTGTAATCAAAATCCCATTCGGTATCTCATTGTATTTGTATTCCAAATCAGTGTTTTTTAATGTAGCATAGTAACTTGGGAAAAACAACAACAATGAAGCAACAGCAAAACAGAATCTCTCCTTTCCCAAGGATGTGAAATTAACTCTGAACTTTACTCCATGATGCCTACGAAAAGTTTAAAACCAGAGACTCTCGTGTCAGTCCCACGGCCTGGCACACTAAGCCATTCTGCCCGTGCCCACCTGCAGCCACTCACTTTACAAACAGATTGCAAGCTCTTAAGGGTAACAACTATTTCGTTTTCTGTTTTATGGCAGGATGTGACAGTATTCAAATCTCCTCTGTGCTACAGTAATATAATAAGCTCAACAAGACTGCTATGCTTTATTTTCTTCTCTGAGATTTAGATAAAAAGTGAGAGATGGTTGCCCAAATTTCTAGGAACAAAAGGCCAGTTTTAAGACATGACCTGAAAGAGAAGTAAGCACTTGGCTTGTCAGCATCAATGATGCAAAGCTTTTACTCTTTGCGCCATTCAAAAAACCCCACAAGGTTACCACTACCATACAGCAAGTTACAGTGTCTCTTCATCCATTTCAACCTTTTCATTGCAAAGAGGAGGTAGCTTAGAAGTAAGGCACTGCCTGATCTGCCATAAGGCACGCTTCTGTTCCACTGAAAATATGATCTATTTTAAGGCTGGCAATGAAAGTTGGAAGAAGTAATCAAATGCACTTGGAGTACCATAATGTCTAGCCTCAGACTGTAGCAGACAAAATAGTTTTTCTATAGCGAAAAAAAAAAAAAAATACTACATTTGAGAACGACAGACCTACAAAAGTATGGGGCCACTGGCTCATAAGACTTACTGGCATTTAATGCTTTCAGAGTGAAAGGAATGGACACAACCATGTAAGTGTTGAAAGTGCACCTTGAGATGCCTCTGTCTTCTGCTAACTTCTGAAGTTATCTTAAGTGTGATCTGAGAAGTTAAGATGTTGAAATTAAAAGACATTTAAATCCAAGATTTTATCATCATCGTTACCTTGAACTAAAATTTACCCCCAAAAATCGAAGGGCAAAAATCCCATATCAACCAGGGGATAAAGTTACAGACATGTTGATACCTATTCAAGTAAACCTCTAACAAGTAATAAGGAGAGAATTCAGATTTCTTGACAACAAATCAATCTTAGCATAGTGTTAAGTTGCCCTCAAAGTTTGAACTGGCTCTTATTCAAAGTAATACCAAGAATTGGGTTCTTCAAATGCAAAAGCTACCTCAGCTGGCTTCGATATGAAAGTTGTCAAACTGTGCAAACTCAAAGGAGCGAGTTCCAATAGCAGCCCAGCCGTTACTTGGTTTGGAAATGGTGACATTCTCCCAGAGCGGATAACCATTTAACAGTCCTGAGGCAGAAGTGCCCTGTCAAAAAAAGGAAAAAAAGTTATCTTTGTCAAATCCAGTCATTAAGTATGCTGACACTGAGCCTACTCACGTGGGAGAAGAGACAAGGCAGAAAGATGTCAAGTCAGATTTCAACTGTATTTCACACATTTTCCGTGCAGAGGTGCCTCTAAATATTGCCTAGAATCTGCCCGTGCCCGTCAGCTCTATGAAACAGATCTAATGCCTTTCCATCAAACACATTAAAGGCTCATCTTCCCCTGACTCACTGTTTTGCAAACTCAGTGCAGGATCTGAAAGGGAGACTGGTTTTCCTCCCCACTTGCATCAGGCTCCCTCAAACAGCCCGACTGTCTTACGGGGTATGGTACACCTGGCACTGACTCTGTACAGTTAGGTAAAAGGCAAAGGGGGTGTGATACACCTGGCACTGGTTCTCTAGAATTAGGCAAAAGTCGAAAGGAAAGGGAGATGTATTTTAGACATTAAGCTGAGAGGAAGAGGGGACAGCAGAACTTTTAAGTATCATGTTGCCATTAAAATTCAAAATAGTTTCAGGAGAAGTTACGTTTATCTTGCCACTGTGGCACTAAACAGTATTTAGAAAAAGTACTTCAATTGACTTGTATTTCTAGATCTGAAAGACAATTACAGACACAGGTAAAAGTAAAGAATGCCTTCCAAGAAGCAGTCAGCGTGAGAATTCTTTAAAGAGGGCTCTGCACTTCTGTTGTTGTTTAGTACAAAATACTCCAGCAGCACAGATGGAAGCTTGTAGCATCATAATTTTAAACTTACCACCACCATTTTGTGTTTTAAACGATTTATGCTCATATTCAGTTCTCCAGCCCTTAACTACCTTCACATACAAAGCCCTAGCATACAAACGGAACTGGCAGGAGTCAGATGTGTAAAACAGGCCAGTAGAGTAGTCTGCTGACAGTCTTCAGAACAGGAAGTCAAGTCATGATCTTTTCATTAGATTAAAAAGATTTGCCTCTCTAGCTTTCCTATCTCCACCTTTCAATTCATCTTTCCATTTCTTTTTCACACCTTTTCCAGTTTCTCAAGATCTCTTTAAACATACAGACAACACAACTCGGTATGGTATTTTAATACTGGTTTAAAATAACAGAGATGTTATTTATGTTTTAGATAGGGCAAACTCATGCGAGTAGACAATCAATAGTATAGCACAGTTTTGTCTAAACCATTTAGTGCTGGAACTTTCACAACGGGTTTTCTAGCTTTTTGCCCGCGTCCTTACCTGGATGTTCAGAGTCAGCGTGTGCCACGCGTTATCCCGCACACCAGAAAGGCCTTTCATTAATATTTCTTCTCCAGCTGCAAAACACGCTTAAGGTTAGCAAAGTGTTACCTCACCCTTTCACTGAAACAGATAAATACCAAGGCAGCAAAAGGAAAACAATACCTATTTTTCAGAAGCGTTCAGGACTGGCATGTTACCACTTCCAACTGCAGCACGGAAGGATTAACACCCAAACCTGGACTCTACATTATTAGTCCATTCCCCTGTTTTGCCAGGGCTGTTTTTCCACTGAAATCTCCAATGCTCTTGGGAATCTGGCCTGAGATAAGGATTCCCCTCTATTGAGAGGATGGGTTCACGAATTGTGACACTAGTTACTGCTCTGCTTGTTCTATAGACCTCCCTGTTCATGTACTGGAACTTTTTTAAATCAGAGGGTTTGAGTTGCCACTCGTGCTGCTTAGTTAGAATCAAAACTTAAGCTGAGCAAAAATTGGGTGTGACTGACACCTGGATGAAAGATCTGAAAAAAAATTAAGTGCTACAAGTGGATTTTTCAATTATTCAGCAGTCTGAGCTGCAAGTTAATTTAACATTCAGGAAAACTATATATAAAGATGACAAAAAAATATTATATCGTGCAACAAGTCTGAAATAATGAGGTAGTTAATCAAAATCCTCTCGTTTCATCTACGAAAAATTATTTTTGACAGCCTAAGAAACTACTTGGGAAATGTTGTTTTGTCTTATTAAAAGTAAATACTGGAGTCGATCCTAAACATAAGTATATTTTTACACACAGCTGAAACTTCAGTTGTATGGAGTTGGACATTGCAAAGTTTCCTTAGGGAGCGCCAGTATGTTAAGAGAAACTAGTGTAAAGCCTTCTATATGATACCCATCCATGATAAAAAAGCAATGGGGAAAAAAAAACAAAACAGCAAAAACCAAACCTACAAAATGAGGAGAAATCATAAACTGCAGCTACCAAATACAAAACAAGGCTACTTTTAAGGTCAGTACAGTGAGAAATGGGTCATTACAGGCTGTCTTTATATTAGATACACTGCAGATTTAGAAGTTGCATTTGCTACATCAGGAACTATTGAAAATTTTAAATTATGGTCATGAAGTGATAGAAAATGCAGAACCTGTTGCTACTTCAAAGCAAATTAAAAAGAACATTTAGCTATTGATGAAGTATTATGACATACACTCTCATGTGCCTCTCGAGTGCTCTATAGATGATCACATATGAATGCCAGCACCACAAGAAAAATATGCTCTTACTCCATTGAGCCAGACTAAGAGCAAAATACATAATTTGTGCAAACAGTTGGCCACTCATCATCACCACCAAGCCAGATGTATGTACATTGACTTGCAATACTCTGCAAAACAGGCCACTGCATCTCAAGCAGGATGGGGTTTTTTTAGGTGTAGTGTAAGAAATCAGATCAAACTTTTCTGCAATTAATATTGTATCTGAGTATTTAGGAAAAGCAAAAACTACCAAGCCAGATGTATGTACATTGACTTGCAATACTCTGCAAAACAGGCCACTGCATCTCAAGCAGGATGGGGTTTTTTTAGGTGTAGTGTAAGAAATCAGATCAAACTTTTCTGCAATTAATATTGTATCTGAGTATTTAGGAAAAGCAAAATAAAAGCAAAAACTGTATTTGGTAGCGTAAAAGAGGTTTTGTCAGCAGGAAAAAAAAAAAAATCCAGAAAGCTGAGACTGAGAAGTGGACCAGCCAGTAGCCTTCAGATGCTCTCTTCACATACAAAATGTGGCCATCATTAGAGCATAATGGGTTTAAGTCATAGCCATGACAAATGAATTACATAATCTGAACATTAGTCATTTTTATCAGGGCTATCAAAATGACATATCAATATGTCAGCATCCACTTTAGCAAAGAGCTGCTTACCCAAGTCACCAGTGACTCTATAGGTGCCATCTGCAAAAACCCAGAAGAAAACTCCTTTGGTCCGTCGAACATATATCCCACCATTGTCCACTCTTCCTGCAATAAACACGCCCCCATCACGTTGTTTTTCTATGAAGATGTCACAAGTGACTGTCATGTTTACCCTATAAAAGAAGTTCAGCATTTTAACAAGCAATGAATCGATCTTTTTGAGCAGGCAGTAAGCAGAAGAGTATTCCCTATTTAGTACAGTAAACTTTTTGAGGAAAGATTTAGCAATCCTAATTGTGACCTGCAGGTGCAAGATGCACAGAACTTGTCTGGACTCATTGTTTCCCACCTGTGAATCTATAGATTTTCTTAGAAAGGGCAATTCTTCTCAGAAACCAACAGCAAAATGACGTTTATTGTCAGCAACTTCCAATTAATTATTTAAAAAACAAACACAAACAAAACACAAGCCCACAGAAGGTTTGCACCTCCACAGAAAAACCTTCAGGTCTGCAAAATGCAAAGTTGCTTTTAGACAACTAAATAAAATCCAAAGACAGATCAAAGAGTTTAAGTTAGACTTCCAAATAGAAGAAAAAGATTTAGCATAAGTTTTATGGTTACTTACTGTCACTAAACCAATTACTTAACAGGTTCTTTCCAAATTGCTTTCTAATTTTAAATAAACACTATGTTAAAATATGATGCTTGATTCCAAATTACCATCATTATAGCCCCTAGAAATCACAATCATAACCATACTCATATCAAACCTCAGTTACGTTTACCCAGAAAGAAAACTGTTTTGAGTAACAGCTGGATCAAATTCATGCAATTCTGGGCACTGCTCAGAAGATGGCAGTCTACAACAAATAGAACTGAATTAACTCCCGGACTATTTCATTGATTCGAGATTGATCAAAATCACTAACAATCAAGCAAGACACCTCATAATTAGGCAGTTTAAACTGAAACAATTTTTTTGTTCCATTTAAAAATGCACTGAAACTCAGTGCACCCTTCGAATTAGGATTTTGACTTGGTCTTTCTAGTATGCCAACCCAGATCCATTATTCTGCAAAACCAGCTAGAACAAACATATCCATAGGGAAAAAAAATAATTGTAAGACAGGAGTTGGCACAGCTAACAAGAGATGTGGTGGATCATTGAATGGTTTTAAGACTCATTTAGACAATGACACAGTTGATCTCTTAGAGTTGGCAAGAGCCCTGAGCAAGGCTCAATGACTTTTGGAAGTCCATTTAAGTGATCATTTCTACATATCTACAGAGAGTCTGAATGCAAAAGCCTAAGAGAAATGAAGCTTGAAACAGATTAACTGATCGTAACTCAGACTGGTAAGCAGGACATTTCCCCACATGTCACTAGAAAATAGTATTGACATACCACTTAAAATTTCCTATGAGGCTAATGGTCTGGTCTGCATCAGAAACCCAAGTGATGGGTCGCTGAACCACCACCTGGCGGAGTGTGAACACATGATCTCCTGGGTCAGAAGCATTTACGAAGTATTCAAATACACCTGTCTGATCCGCAAAATTCGGGGCTTCACTGAAAGGAGGATTACCTGTTCAGAAAATAAAACATGCATCAAGACCAAAACATTATTTTCCTTCTGTGTACTCTTCAGAAATTTCGTCTGAAAATATTCCGCAGAATTTTGACTTACTCTATCAAAGCACAGTCTCCAAAGATGAAGTTTTGGGAGTTGCAAGGTGATTTTAGTTTTTAAGCAGACCCCAGTCTTTGCAAAAATAATTAGCAAAGTGAATTACCTTCTTTCCTATCTTCCTTCCAAAAACTACTTCACTGTATTTATGAGCTGTACGATTTGCATCAGGAACTTTAAAACTGTTAGTGACCACCCAGTTAAGACACAGAATTAAATACATCTCACTGCAAGTGAAGTATATAGCTGTAAATTGTTGGAGAAGCAGGTATAAATAAACAAAAATAAAGCAGATTACTTCATGTCACATCCATTAGAGGACTTAAATCACGTAATTGTTATTGCCATTCTATATTAAGACTATATCTGTGTGTGAAATAAGCTTTTGGATAAGAGAATTCTGACTTACGAATATTGAAATCATCTTTGTAATTTGAAGGAAAGGGCTGAGATGGTGGAGGCTCTGGGCAACAACATTTCTGTCCTGTCTTGAGTGTGGTTAAAGTGTAGACTTCGTCTATGTCTAGATCTAAAGAAAAACTTCCCTTCCACACCTGGAATTAAAAGAAAGCTCAAGCTGTAAAAATCAAATAGGTAAATAACAAAGCATTAAATTCCTGAATTAAAGGAGATCCCTAAAGTCCCGATTTAGGGCAAAAATCGCATCTTCTTGCCTCAGCATTTAGTTATCTCTGAGCTATTCTGAAAACCCCCTCCCCCCAAACTTTCTATTACTCCAGGTAAGCTTGTATAGAGCTAGTAAAAATGTAATCAAATGGAGCTAATAAAAAAAGTCAGGGGTTCCAGCGAAGGAGGAAGAAACAGCTGAAATCGCAGAGTGTAATCAAAACTCATCAACTTACCTTAACAGGATGGAGTTGCTGGAAAAGACTGGAGTTCCCGGATTCAAACCCAAGTCTAGAATGCCACACTTGAAGGGCCTCCACCATATACTACAATGAAACACAATATAAAAAGATGTCTAATTTTCGGTATTTTAGAGCTGTTGATCATGTTAGAGGCCACCCTATTCAGCTAGCCATGACATATGGCTCATCTTTTTATAGATTGCATGTCCTTATAAGCAGCATTGCTGCATGTTAAGACAGAAAACACTGCAGTCACACATGCAATCTTTAGCTTCTCTACTACCAACAACGGTTTCCCTTTGATACAAACTTTCTGCCTAGGAGCAACCAGGCTGAAATAATCTCCTGCTAATTTTGCTTTAATGAGACCTTTAGTTTAGTTACTGGTTCTTTGATATTCATTTTTGAGCAAAGCACCTTTGTTACGGATCTCCAAACCTCTGCAATACTATGGTGCATCAGCTACATTAGTTACAGATTTTAATCATATCCAAATTCATTTTACAAGACTGATTAAACGTACTCAAGATCCACTTACAAATGACCCTTTGAGGTAGAAAGTTGCTCTCTGAGGTTTCACACTGAAATGAGGCAGTGGAGGCCTGATACATTGAGAGTGATTATGAGTCTGAAGAAAATAATAAATGTAACAAAAGGAACGTACATTACTGGGATGCATCACATGGCAGTGTTCATAAAAAACATACTGCATAAACTGAAATTAAAAAAGCAACATAGGATCGATTTTCAACTATTTGTTTCACTGTTATCTTAATAACTGTAACTATACCAGCTTAATACTTGCATTTTGAATGCTGCTTTAAAAAAAAGCACATGATTTAACTTCCTCACAGTGTGTGTCATCAAATTAAAGCTAATTAGTGATAAAAACATGACACAGAAATTGGTCTCCAGGAAGATTCAACTACACTCAAAGTTTAGATAGGAAAAAAGGATGAGCATGTCCATAGATACTGAGCTACATAAATCAAACGGTTTCTTATAACAAAAAATTCCCTTTATCTTTTCTAGTTCATTGGAACTGCTGATGCCCATACCATAGTTTCAATGATGATGGTAAGGTTTCCTCGGCCATCTGTCAGAGCCACAAAACTCCCACCTCCTTCTAAGTGTCCATCCACTTGCAAGTATGACCAGCCTGGCTGAGTAAATTGCGTCGTGTGTGCTGAGACAAAACAGAACAATAATCAGAGGAAAGTAATTAAGTCTTAATAAAAAAATAATATAAAATAGTCTAAATTAATTTCTCTCTCATGCTTTCTTACAACACAAAAAACTTGGTTTTGGGAAGCAAGTCATGGAACTCCCAAAACGAATTCTACCTACACGAGAAGAAAGATTAAAGAATTATACTAAGGCACAATTAAAAACATATCTGTGGCAAACCAAGATAAAATGATAGCGATTATTTAAACAGGAAGAAAAAATTATTACATCATTATGTAACTCCATCATGTACATTCAATATGAATATTCATCACGGTTTGGATTTTCCCAAATGTCTTTTTTTTCTTCCCCCCCCTTTTTTTTTTTTTACATAAAGATTTGAGCCAGAGAAAGCATACATGGACATCTCCGTGAGGAATAACTAAATAAGTAAGGTTTTCAGTATGTAAGAGAGTACCAAAGAAGAATATGACCTAGATCATGAAAATCCTGAGCAACGTGAAGACAGAACAACTGCTCAGTTGCTCTGAACTATTCATATGACAGTATGGCCACTGTTTTTTATTATGTTTTTACATATACAGGTAACTAGCAGAAGAATAAAAGTGAGAGCATTTGCCTTGTTATTCCTTTATAGCATTGCATATGCTACCTGCTCTACCGAGCTGTGGCAAAGACAGTAAAATATTAAAGGACTACAGAGCAGGCAGTGAATATGTGTGTCCATGGAACGTATTCCCCTTTTCCCAAGCACAAGGAAATGCTGACTTACACAAGCCAAGAACCTCAAGCAGGACAAGAATACAGAGGTTCTTTGTTCCATTTTCTCAAATCGAGAGGTATCAAATGTCTACTTAAGGATTACAAAAAAAAAAAAAAGACAGAAAGGAACTAGGAAAGTACCTTAACCTTTATGGGCCCTTCAGATCAAAATACTTTAATAGTAACAGTTATAGAAGGCAGTAGTTTACTTAATTATGCTGCATCTAATGGTCAAGTACCAAGATTTCCCTTGCTACTAGATCTTTCTGCTTTCTATTGAAAGGAGGTTTTTTTCTTCTTCAAAGTATTCACAAAACTTTCCACAAAAAATAATAAACATAAAACCACTAAATAAGTACAGAAATGCTCTGTGTTAGACCATCACACTTTTACCCACGAACTTTTTACCTGTAATCCAGATAGGAGCTTCTACTTTGTAGTGGCCGCTCCACGGCTCTTGTGCTGTCATTAATCCACAGCGACCAAAGGGCAACTCCTCATAGTAACTGGCTACCAAGTTCCATGCAATGGTTCTGGAAGAAAAACAGGTTTGCTTGCTTCATTCATACAGGTAGTATTTGATGACCTTGGTTCAAGAATTTATGCTTCTTTTCTGCAGCATATACGCCCAAAAAAACATCTTTCCAGCTAAATGAGAAAATAAATAAAAAAAAAAAACAAAAAAATGCAGAAGAAAATAAAACAAATCAACTTTCAGTATTGAGAACCTCTAAGGAAATGTGCACTGAAGATTAACGACTCCATATTTACCTTTCTTCCTGTTTTGAAGGGGAAAAAAGTTAAGTATTGAGGTTTACAGCTTTTTGTTGAGGTGGGTTTTGGGGTTTTGTTTGGCTGCTTGTTGCTGCTGGCAATTTATTATTTTTTTTTGGTAGGGGTGGAGGTGTGAGACAGTGGAAGTACCACTGAAAAAAAAAAACAAAACCTTCCTTTATCTATTTAAAGAATGAACAGATAGCACTGTCTATTCAGTGAACAGTCACTGTCTGACTATTCACTGTCAGAAGCAGCTCACAAGGTTAATTACTTCAGGTCTTCTGATTTAGTCTTCACTGAAAATCTTCTGCTAGGACCTTAAACTTAAGACCTGTGCACCCTAAGTATGGAAATGCAGCATAATAAAGCAGTTATGTAGAAAGCAAAAGTTGGCATGCTGTTCTGCCACTGCATACAGGTAAGTGCAATGGCCTCATATTCTGAGGTCGTTGCCACAGATTTATCACACTAGATACGCATTCCAGAAAAGATCCTGAAATCCTATAAAAGTTGCTCATAAAATAAAGAGCTCTTGAGTTGTAAACTCAACAACTTGCTCACATTGAACTTGTTCTGCAGTTTCAAATGTAGAAAAGGAACGTAGGGAACTCAAGTTCAAAGGAAACAATCTTAACAAGAAAGATAAGCTGCCTTTCAGCAGGAAGTTGATTTACAATATAAAAGCCAAGATAACTTCAATATTTGATATATGGACTTGGAATTATTCCACAATAATTTCTAAATACAATAGAATTGTATTTAGGTCTTGCTGTCAGGTTGCTAAACAATTGGGGCATATATAATTACAAAGGGCTTATCAAAACAAAAAAAAAGGGAAAATAAAGATCCCAAAGTAAGATATTAAAGCATATGAGAGTCAAGAGGTAACTGGAATGGTCAGGAATTCACACAGGAAATATTAATCTGTTAGAAAATTTTGGCTTGCAGAGCAGATAGATTCATAGAAACCATGTGGCTCAAGAAACTTCCTTTTACAAGTATCCAGGTATTTTGTGCTGTGCTCCATTTCAAGCGTTTCAGACAAAAAACATTTTTCTTTATTGTTCCAAAATGAAGTTACATAAAAACTAGAAAGCTTTGAAAAATTACGCTTACATCTTGATGTCTACATTTTTTTTTAGTCAGATTTTTTTTTCTTTCAGATTAGTAGTCATTGCACTGGAAACATCAAAGTATGTTTTCTATTCTCCTCTAAAACTGCAAGTTATGTGATTTCCCAATAAACAGACCAGCTTTCTTCCAGATTTCAGTACGGAAAGAAAATGCACAGGAAACAGTACATACATCAAAAGTCTGCAGCAGGGTTTACAATGGAGTCTGAAAAAGAAGTTGTACAAAAAAACTAGATAATGACACCCATACCTACTTTGTCTGCTGAAGACAAACAACTTGATAAAAACCCTAAGAAAAATACAGATCAATAAGCTTTATTGTCATTTTCCTCCAATGTTTTTTGTGTTTTAGTTCTTAAGAACATTCCCTTCTTAACAAATACCATCAGAGTCTCAAAGGCATCTGAACTCATCTGCATAAGCCATGGGATACTGCGTAATCACAAGAATATATTAAAACTTGTGGGGCTTCTACCCCAGAAAGAGGCAAGGACAGTAGACTTCATACCTTACTATACTTGAATTCAGACTGAGAGTGGAGAGAGTTTCAGTTTACCTGCCATGTTACCATAGTAGGAGGATGTGTGATATAGTACCTGGAACAATTCTTACACACGAAGTAGTGAAGGGGAGCAACAGCGCACAGCACTTACGAGGTCATGTTTCCATTCACGTAGTTCTGGTTCAGGATCCGAGCCCAGCAGCCTGCACCTACTTCATCATTGAATGTACTGTAATCTTCTGAAGACCACAGTTTCTTCTTAGTCAGCAAGGCATTTGGCACCGTTTTTGTTCCAGGATAGTGAGCCCTACACACGTTTTAAAAAGAAACAGCACTTATCACAAAAATAAAAATCGAAGCCTGGAAGTAGAAACAGCAGCTAAAAGCTAAAGCTATGGCAATAAATTGGAAAAAAAAGGGATGATAAACAGGATTAAAGTAACAGGGAAAAAAAACAGGTTCTAGAGGCAGACTCCTTCAGTGTATCTTTATTGACAGCTATGCTTCACTTAAAGCCTGCACACTTATAATGTTCTTGTTTTGTCCCATTAGTATGCAATCAAGTAAAACAGTTTCACCATCAATTGAGAAATTTATAGTTTTTATCTGCTCTTTGATGCAATTTCTACTGTTAATGAACACAACTTACACTGTATTTGCTTTTCACTTAACACTGCTGTTAACCAAGGGGTTTTGTTTTACTTTCATTAACATCTAGATTAGTTCTTAAAACATAGGACATGACGAAAGAGAACGTAACTCCTATTCCATACAAAAACTAACTTCCTAAAAAATAAGTACATAAATATTTTTTTATACTTTTAATAACACTGTAGAGTGTATACTTTAAGAAGACCCACCCAAATGCATAAAAAACCCCATTTGCTATCAGATTACAGTGAAAGCTTTCACACACAGTATGTGCTGGATTTGCTTAACTCTATGCGATTTATATTTAAACACTAGATCACGCTACAGCCCTCTGTAGATGTCTTGTGCCACTCTACAGCCTCAACAACTAACAAAAGGTGTGCAGCAAAGGAGAGGAGATTAGCTGTGTCCAGAACAGCATGCTCTGCTCCTTCAGTAGTGAAAACAACCTTTTATCTCACTGGAAATGAAAACTAAGACATTTACCCTCGGGAGATAACTGGTCAACTCAAGGACCAGTACTATTCGGAGAGACTTGAGCATCCTGATTAATATTTCGAGAAAAATCACAAACACCTAAACACCTACCTTTCTTCCTGCCTGAAAAGACAACATGGAGTAGATTTTATGCATCATTGTTACAGAAGTGATGCTTCAGCAGAAACAGTGGGATTTTGGATTCTCTGCTCAAAAGAGCAGTCAGACACGCTATAACAGAAGACCATTTCAAATAGAGAGGAAAACATCATGTGTATCATGAAAGGGGGAAAAAGAATGGATCTTGGTGAAGAAAGGGTAATGAAAGTAATAGGAACAGAATTACAACAGAAGTGACACATAAGTTTAAAGCTATTGCCACTGCAAGAGAAGAATTTACCAAAAGCTATTGCTATTGGTGTTTAAATTCTTCAAACCACTGTCATTTATTAAAAAATATTTTCATTGTTCCCTCCTTCTTGCAGTCTCTCTGGAACCAGCAGGTGGTTGGTTCATCATCAGGGCCTCTACCTTTAAAGTGGTAACAAAGTGTTTTTAAAATATCAACTATCATGAGATTGAGCGTATTTTATACAGCAGATGATGAAGCAATATAACTCCATTGGCAAAAAAATCCCAAAACACAACACACAGTTGCCTGTGGAGGGCAGCTAAACTAAATCAGATAATTGATAGTATATTCTTAATATAAGAAAAGTTCTTCTGCTTATGGATTGCAAATGCTGCTTTGCACAAGTGCCCACAGTAACTTCATTTGGGTAACTTTGCTAAACAACAAACAAAGACTTCATATTATTTTCTGGTTTACATATAGCAATGGCCCAAAGGAGAAAACGAGGATAGAAATAGCAGGTTTTCCCACCATTTTTCTCTCACACATCAGTACAAGGCCATAGAAATAAAATAAAGAAGACCAGCCTATATAATACACTTCAATGAAGCTTTGCAAGAAAGCATTACCTGTAAAAACCTCAAAGTCTAGTTCTCAAAAACATCTTCTGAAAACAGAAATCATCAGCTAACAACACTGTTTTTCCTACTTCTAATTCTGTGTCAGCACACGGGCCTGGAGGGACCAGGGGGAGTTTGCATTCCCACTGTACAGACACCACAGCATGATTCCATCATGGAGTAACATCACAACATCTTGTTTTTCTTAGGTTGTTAACTTGGGTATAATATCAAATTTCTTTAAAAGGTCTGGTTTTCTGTGACACATTCAGCCAAATGTGTTTAGAACAGATCTGATTAGGAACACAGATGCTGGTAACCAAAAAGACTGAATTGTCACCTAATGGCATACTAGATTTATAGAAGGTGAAAATGAAAGTTGTTACTCCTAAACCACAGACACTTTCTGAACACTTCCTATTCTCTTCAATTAATAGCAGGAAGAGTCAGGGGGAGATAGAGGGTGGTAATTTTTCAACATGTAGAGTCAGAATAGCTTGGTCTCTAACTGTACAGATTGCAAAAATGTAAGTGGTTTAACTGTGTTACAAACAAGTAGCACATCTAAAGTACTAATGTGGAATTTACAAGCCTATCTGCAAAAAACATTGCTCTCAAGAGCTTCAGTGTAATTTAAATATGTTCAAAGTAGGAGAAATACCTGCTTATAATTCATTATATTTCATTTCACTGATAAAATTGATGCAACTGTCATAGCTGTGAAAAGCTGTTTGGAAATAGCACATTATAAAGAGCTTTGGTGAAGTGTGCCATTCCTATGTGGGTGAACATCTATTAATGGTTTTACAGTGTGTCTTCAGGGCTCCCTCTAATTTCTAGCTATTACAGTATCTTGCAGATGAAGCCCAGATCCTAACAGTGCAAATTAAAACAAAAGCAGCAGCTTTAATCTCCCATCCAGCTTGCGTGATGAGAGACCTCACAGATCACAAATTATGTTACCAAGTCCAAAATTGATTTTATATGCATTCATGAAAAAAATCCTGGCTATCTGAAAAACTTTTGAAATAAAAAAGAAAGCCAACATTTTTTTTTCAAGATACCATGATGAGATGTGCACCACTAGATGCCCAGTAGCCAACTCATTATTCGTTACACAAGAGAGTATTTAATCTCCTGTAAAACTCACATTTGCAAAGAGTTAAGCAACTACAGCTTAATAATACAGTGTCAAAACCCTTGAGCTTCAGGAACTGACTCAGGATATGTACTTGTAGCTGCCAGAAGCCAGACAGGAAGCATGTTCACTACGCTGGGATCAGGTAACTACTGTGGCTTTGCATGCAACCACAGCGAGTTCACAATTGCTTTCATTTGATGATCCACAAATGACCCAAGGCTCTACTGGCAAAAAACTGCCAGGATCCTTTTTGTTGTTCATAATGGCAGGAGGGGTTGATTTGAAGGGGACATTGACTGTGTATCTGTATTTGGAGGGAAAGCCTTTAAGCCTTTATTTCTACTCCTCTTGTGGGTCAGATTATAAAAATGAATGAAAAGGACTTGAAGCAAGGAACAGCCACATTTGAAGCATATGATTAGGTCAGGCAAGTTTATAGAAGCTAATAATTAAAATTTAGAGCTACTACAGAAAGAAAAGTTAATGAACAAGTCTTACACACATATCCATTCAGCAGACAAGTCAGTTATCAATCTCACATTTAGTCTACTACTTTTGTAAAATATTAGCATTATATGATGAAACCCAGAACTAGAAAAACAAGTCAGCTGGTTACATGCTTTCCAAACAAAATCTTCCCATCAAAACAAAATGGGATCTAAGAATCAAGACATTATTGTAACTAAAACAAAAAGAATCACAGCCCCAATTCATTTCTGGATCATGCCCATTTCTGTGACAGACCAGCAGAAGTCAGTAATACAAGGCTGTACTCAAAACTCTAAAGCTAAAGCGCATTTGCATGCCAAATACAGGAACCAAAACAACCCTCAGAATAAACAAGGCTGTCCAAAAAAACCTTCAGTTCATCAAAAGTGCAGCCACAGCCAATAGGAATCTTCCACGAGACAGGAAACTCACAATTCTGAGGCTGTCACCGCAACAACAGCCAAGATCATTTGATGTGGGTTAGTAAGAAATACTATAGCATCAGTCCTTTCATTGCCAGTAACGGTATAGAGAGGTGAAGCTTTGGCTGTGCTAGTTATAAATAGGCAAGATGAAAACAAACTATAAACAAACCACCAAGAAAGAAAAAAAGAGAGAACCCCCTACCCAATGACATCGACCACTCCGTGGAGCTCAGAGTCAAGCAGCAAGACAAAGGAAATGGGCTCCCACAGTCTATCGCTGGCTATGATCCTCACCTGCTGCAGACCGTGCTTATCCAATGTGTATCTCAACAGCTTTGGGAAAAAAAAAAAAAAAAAAAAAAAAAAAAAAAAAAAAAAGAGAGGGAAAAGCATAAAAGTTAGACCCTTTTTTTTCTGAAATGTTTGGGTTTTAACTTGAAAATGTTAGACAAAGCTATAGTAAAAAAAAAAAAAAAAAAAAAAAAAGAAAAGCAAATAACAGAGAGAAGGGAGAAATAAAAAAATGTTTTTCAAATTGTTAAAAATTTGTATCGAGAAAGGCAGCATCTTCTTCAGCACCTTTTGAACATATTTCAAAACAAATCATGTTCCAATTCAGTTTTCAGACAACGACTGTTACATAAAACAAGATGCAATAGATTGTTGAGCACAAAGTGCCTGCAAAGAAGGACAACTTCTTCCTCTACCATGCCTAACCCCAAGGCACATGACAAAAGGAAAAATGAAAAACATTTGGTTCTTATTTTCTTACACCCACAAATCTGCAGATAAAGACAAAGCATATCACATTTCATGCAAGATACTCTATTTGCAGATCAGCCACTTAGATGTTACAACACTGAGGTTAAGCTGCAAGGACCACATGCAGGGCAAGGATAACTGAACTGCAACTTAAAGAAACCTTGTGAAAGCACAGTAAACATTCAATTAAGAAAAGGAATCGATCCCCCCTGTTACCGCTGCTAATCAACTACTTCAGTTTAACAGTGAAGCAACACAAATGAGATTGGTTCTTCCTAAGCACAACTGAAACAAGAAGTGAGAAAAACACCGACACACACACCTTATTATTCAGCTCCATTTTATTTCAAGTTTTAAAACTGCAACCACTCTACATTTCCCTAGAGACATTTTAAGGTCTTGAAAGTCAATGAAACAAATCTAAAATGTCACATAAGACCGAGTCTAACAATGTAGTTCCTTGAAGTCCAGAGGTCCCCTAAACAGCATGTGCTGTACTTGTAAATTCAGATAACATCAAATGCCTATCTTCAAACCAGCCTGTGTATTTCTACCATATATTATCTTCTCTGAGAGGGAACACAACCTGCAGGAAACAGTGCTGCAAGATTTCTTTTTCCACAGATCAGACTCTGACCTTGCTTATGTGCAGCCTGACCATAGCCTAAACCATCAAGATTTCCTGCCCCAAAGTCTCGAGAACTGTGGCTGAACACAATGTTGGTATTACTTCTGCACGGTATTTTCCTGCTACATCTTGCCTTAGAATAAGGCAGTATTTGGTTCGCAGACTTAACATACATACAAAGGCTAAAGTATGCAGTGATTAGGAGAGATTCCTCATGAACACAGAAAAGCAGTTTTAATGCCCACCTTCAAGGAAGCTATGAGAAACTGTAAATCCATCACTCTAGCCTCGGTCCCCAGGAAGGTTATAGAGCAAGTCTTCCTGGAAGCCATTTCCAAGCACAGGAAGGACAGGAGGATGGTCTGGGAACAGCAGCATGGATTTATCACGGGCAAATTATATCTGACAAACACAGTTGCTTTCTACAACAAGATGACTACCTGTGCAGGCAAGGTGAAATCAGTGGATGTCATACACCCTGACTTCAGCAAAGTCTCTCACCAAGGTGGATGGAAAAGTCCAACCAGGGGAAAACAACCTAGCGGTGTCCCCAGAGGCTGATATTAGGGCCAGTACTGTTTGATGTCTTTAATAAAACTCAGGAAGTTCACATTTTGATTTGCTCGCACACACAGATTTTCTTTCCCTTTGAAATTTTTTTCTTAACCCACAATGGTGCAGATTGCTAGCGGTGTCCCCAGAGGCTGATATTAGGGCCAGTACTGTTTGATGTCTTTAATAAAACTCAGGAAGTTCACATTTTGATTTGCTCGCACACACAGATTTTCTTTCCCTTTGAAATTTTTTTCTTAACCCACAATTTTTCTCACTTTTACCCTTCTGATTCTCACCCCTACCCCGTTAGGGAGGTGTGAACAAGTGGCCTTGTGGGGCTGAGCTGCCTACCAGGGCTGGCCTACTCAACTGGTTATCTACTGCACCGAAGGGCTGTTATTTAAAGGGAATTAACAGACTAGAAAAAGCAGGCTGACAGGAACCTCGTCAAGTTCAACAGATGAAAACACCAAGTCCTACACCTTGGACACAATAACCCCTTGCAACAGTACAGGCTGTGGACTGTTCAGTTACATATAAGAACTTAGAGGAAAAGGAAAAAAAAAGAAAAAGAGCATGAGTGTGCTCTAACACACAGAATAAGTTGCCCAAAGGGGTTGTGAAGATATTAAAGCTGAATAAACCTCAGCACCACAATGTAATTTCACATGCCTGATGCAGAGAGGTTCAACCAGATGACCTCCCAAGGTCCTGTGCAAACCAAGTTAGTCAATAATTCTATCTAATTACAGGTAACATCCCCAGAAATAAGACCCCCCCAAAAAAAAAATTAAAAAGACAAGGCTGTTCTACCAGCAAAATCTATTGGTTTTAATTGAAACAAGCATTATGACTTAAGATCAGTTACAGATTGTGCTTTGAACTATGTAATACAAAAATCCTGTTTAAATTCATGGCAAAAGCAGCCTGTTCCAATATCTTAAATCCAGAAGCCGGGATTTTCTATAAATAATCTTTTTTCTTGCACCAGTTTAGCATAGTCAATTCATTTTTCTGTTACATCAAATGTTTTCTACCTCAGAAAGAGCAAATAACAGCGAAGTGAACTTGCTCTTCCTGCTGAACCGAGAAGGCATTCCTGGATCATAAGACTAATGATACGTCTCAAGTTGCAACTCTATTAACTATGAAAATCAACAGAACAAGAACCCCTTACATAAAAGCCACAGTCATTGACAAATAGCTCTTAAATACATCTTTGTTCATTAAGAATTACCATGATTTTTAAGTAAGAGACACTAGGAGACGGAGAAAAAAACAAACTGATTTTTTTTTCTGTTATTTGATCATTGTATTAGAAAAGACTCATGCTACATCACCTACAAATAAAATATGATTTGTTCTGTCTGGCAATTAAAAACTGATGAAGGCTGATTTTTTCCAGCCACCTAACACATGCTAACTCTCCACTGTAATAGCTTACAAGTGAAAGATAACTTAAATCATTGAGAACTACGGAAAAATCATTTTTCACTTTGTCTACTTGTAGATAAACACCAGAAAAAAAAAAAGAATATTGTGGAATATATGCAAGCCTAATTGTGTATTGGCATAAAGGCCTTTAGCAAAGACTTGACAAATAGAGCTAGGCTTTGTTAAACACAGAAAACAAAATCTGTATCTAACAAAAGATGTACTACTGAGCCATAATACATCCTGGGAGAAAATTAGTATGAATATATACTATACAAACACAGAAATAGCACCCATCAGAATAGCATAGGAAGACTATAGTGAAGATGGTCTTGCAAACAAAATAAGGAAGCATAACATAACACAGTTTAAGGCTTGAGTTACCTATATTAAAATCACCTTTCCCATTTTCAAGCACTTTAGGAATACCGGGTAAGCCATTTCCTTTAGTAGCAGTTTAGTAGCAGTTCCTCTTCTAACAAAATTCCTGTTTTCAATGGCAAGTACTGGAACTCATTGATATGAAATGATGGCAAGCAATATGCTCAAGAAGACCACTCCTTCAACCAATGAAACACACTGAATGATAATAGCTGGGCAGCCTTTGTTCTCATGAGAAAATATGAAGTCCTCGATCTTTCAAATCATAAACCAGCAAACAGCAAATATGGAGGGGGAAAAAACGAACATGTAAACTTTACCTTAAGTCTACCTTAGATATGCTTCAGATTGCAAATAGCATTTTAGGGAGGGATAAAGCTCCACAGGGAGCAATGGTATCAATGTAAAAATTACCTGATATGAAAGAGAAAGGAAAGGAAAAAAGAAAATGAAAGGAAACACGGGAAATGGAAAAGTTACTTTTTCTGGATGGATGAGAAAAAAAATAATTTCAATTATCTTGATAATGTGTAAATAAAACAATAAAAATTTAATTTCAAAATAGAAGAACTAAGAAAAAGTCACAGAGAGGGTTATACTTGAAAGAGTACAATGTACAGGAAAGGATTTCTGAGAAAAGAATTTCAGACTATTTAGGAAAACAGATTGACGAGCAGATTTTGCAAACAACTAGACACAGTTATCTAAGAGACATACAGATAGAGTGTACTCTGAGCAGCTTTCTGAACTTGAGCATTTGAAGGACAGACGCCTAAATACTATTATCTTTTTCTAGGTCATCAAGAACTCTGTTTGGTAGTTGGTGCCTTCAAGTCAGCACTGGCTGAGAAACACAGTGTTCTCATTTTGTACTAACCTTAATTTCTTGATAGATAACAACACTACTGCACAGGAAATACTCTCCCAACTCTTCTTTTTTTTCTGATCAGTAGGAGTGGGGGAGTCAGGGAAAAATCCTTATGACATTCAAGAAAAACCTCTGACAAAAAGAACTTTCATCTGAAAGAAATGCCCATCATCCTAACCTGCAAACAAAAACAGGTACTTCTAGCCTTGATTCTGTTAAACTCTTTAAAAAAAAAAAAAGAAGACTGGAAGCTTCACCAGCATGGAAATCATAACTAAAACATTTCCTAATGCACTATAATTCGCTGAGGTTCAAGTCTTGCCTAAGCTAAGTCATCGGTTTTTAAAATTAGTTACTCAGTACTGGTATTATAATTGGTATTTATCAGACAGCTACTTCCAGGTGATGAGTTTTTATAAGCTCAACACATACAGAAGCAGTTTCTTTAGAAAATCCCTGCTTAACTGACTTGGTAAAACCTTTGGACCATGCATGTGTTTAAAAAATTATGAGTATATCACACCGTTTTACATATAGATGAGGATAAATGGTACACTAGGGACCACAGGTATGTTCTTATCACAGTAAGGTTAACAGAGGTAAGTCAATTCACAAATGTAATACAAGTGAACAATTTATACATGTATAGGTTGTTTCCACTGGGAACATGCTATAAATTTTGAAAACCTACTTACAGTTTTGAGA